CTATTTCTGTACTATCGTTTTAAATAAAAGAGTTTCATGTTATTTTTTGCTTCTTCACTACCTTTGTATGCCGACCCTTCACTACCGAAGGGAAGAAACCTTTGTATTCCTACGAGAGGTTGAAAAAAAAATTATAGTCAGAATCAAAAAAAAAAAAAAAAATTAACGGCCCCTGTGGCCTTATGGATAAGGCATCGGTCTCCTAAACCGGGGATTGTAGGTTCGAGCCCCACTAGGGGTAATCTTTTCGGGAGCGGGGTGGCCGAATGGGCTAAAGCATGTGCACAGCACCGCGAGTTGCCTGGTAACCGGAGAACAAGATGTGAGATGATTTAAAAAGTACGAGTTCGGAGGGGTCCCGGTGCCGGAGGGGATTTTAAATTCCCCGCTCTTACCCTCTGGCCCGGGAAAATCCCGTATAGCCTAAAAGGCGAGGTAGGGAAGAAAAAAAAAATAATAATAAAATTCAAACATTTCTACTTGTGTTTTACGTTTTAGACATCAGGGATCAAATTTGGTTCGGTATCAGTCTATCTGTCTGTCTACAGTAAAATCGTCACCTACTACAGTCCTAAATCAATTTCACAAAATGTCATCCAGCACTTCTGCTTGCGCAAGCGTAAAGTAAATGTATTTTCTTAGATATGCCAATATTTCAGAAATGGCTATATGGATTTGGCTAAAAGTTGAAAGAAAGTAAATTGTTTTAATAAAATAATGATTCATTATCGATTTCATTGAACTTCGTCCTCTACTTTTTCTTATATATGAGCAAACGTGATTATATTGATACGTCTATATTTCTAAAACAACTTGTTCGATTTGGCTCAAATTCGGAGTGAAGTTGGGGATTGATTGGTTAATAGATAATTTATCAAATTATATCCGCTGCTCTCAATAAAAATACTTCCGCTTTCGGATCAGTAAACCTATCATTTGACACTCCAATATAGTTTGAAAACAGTTCATTCAATTTGACCCAAACTTGGAGAATAGTTTAAATATATATTAAAAATTTAAATATATTACAAATTTCATTAAATTCTATTTAATAATTAAAATTAAGATAAATAACTGGTACAAATATAGTGGCTCTGAAATGAGGAAGACATTCATGAAATGGAATGTTGGTTGGGTTAATACAATATTTTTATGAGGTTATTAAATTTTATGTTTTATTCAAAAAATGTATTTATACTCTATTGCTTGATCGTTTTCGGACGTTGCTGAAATTACGCTTACAACCTTCACTTAATTAATTAATTAGTAATTAGTAATTTTTAATTAATCGTTACTCTGATTTGTAAAACAATCATACAGCATAAGTATATATTTCTCCCGTAAAACATTCAATTTTTAAATACGACCATCAGCACCAACAGTAGCGATATTGTCGTTAAGTATATACTTTTTTCGCGTTTCATCGAATATGCGATTTGCAAATGTGGAATTCTTCCGCATTATAGTATTTTTTTATCAAAAAAATTTGTGAATATCCAACCCGCAAATGTTAAGAGATTACTGTATTTCTGAAAACGGCTTCTCCCGGACATTTTATTCTCATAAAAAAAATATTGTTTAGCCAATGAAAACCGTGAACAATAAGGACTGACCTTATTTGGCAGACGTTTTTTTTTTTATTTAATTTGAATAACAATGGTGTGCTATAGTAATTTTTTTTCATACATTAATGTGCCAATTTTATAAAAAAAGTTGTATTCATTGCATTTTATTACACTGCGATATTAAATTCCTAACCCATGGAAGTTCTTTTATTCAGTACTTTATAAGAGAGTACTTTTTCTGGCTCAACGGTTATTCAAGAAAATTATTTGGCCGAGATTTCGCTAAACCGTCAGTTTTATAACGTTCTCTTCTATTATTTTAGGAATTTAAATAGAATTTTATATTACCCAAACCTATTTTAATAAAAATAATATGAACTTAGAAACTTTTCCTGAGATACAAGGTATAGGACAGACTTAGTCATATATTTTCAATTATATTTAAGGATAAAATTCACAATAAATGTGAGAAAAGATCGAAACGAACTGTTATAAGAAAATATAACGCAAGAACGTTATATATATATATTTATTCGTGGATATAATTCTTGTTTGTTATGACCAAAGTAAACTAAATCGTACACTAACTTAAGGGAGAAAAGAACTTCTCATGAATCAGATTGTAACAAACCCTCCAACAAATAAATTACTGATGATCTCAAAAAAACAAAAAACATGTGCACCTATTTTTGTTAGAGTAAAGAACAATAGATTTTTGTTGATTACCATTATTTAGTTAGCAAGGAAAGGTCCATTATATGTTCAAAAGGTAATAATATCTGTATGGAGATTTACAATAATACAATAGATAATAGTTAGGTTACAATCTAAGTCCACATATTTAAAATAGTCAATCTGTCAACTACAAGAGGAATTTTAGGCAAGTTTCATTTTTGTTTTTTTATTTATTAATTCAGAAGTATAACAATCTGTTACATCTGAAAAATAAGGAGTTTTAGATTTTTAAAAGACTCATCTATAATAGTCCATGCTATATTCATCTTTTATTTCCCATATATTTTCCTAATCATTTTATTTCATATGCTTTTCCAAATTATCCAAAGCCGGAATAGTATTCAGCAAGTTTTCACAAAACAATGTCAAGCCCTAAACATATTGGTTCAGGCTCTGCGATCTGTCTCTTTTTTCCCTTGTATTTAACTCAAGGTTATATCGATATTTATATACATTGAAATTTTACTGATGAATTCTACAGCACGTTCTCGTATTAAAATTAAAATTCATATAAGCAAAAAGCATTTTATTTTATGAAAAGTTCGCTTTATATAAGAACAACATTTATTTTTAGGTCACATTTTTTTTTCAAATCGATAACCTTTTTTTTTTACTTCACTTATTTTCAATTTGTTAGGTTTGTATTGAAGAAACACGTACTACCACTTTCATTTCATCTACGTATCAGCTGGTGAAATATATTTTCTATCTTCTGTATAATCAATAATATACATTATTGATATATATTTATAATAGTTCAGATTGATTTATTTTAATGTTCTTTCTTTTTATTCCTTTTAAATAATCCCAAAAAAATAATATAACTGTTTTTGTTATATTGTTAAAAAAAATATTTGGTGTGTCCACTTCCTACCTATTTCAAAGAAGATTATGTATCTTTACATGTGTTCATGAAGAAACAAAAAAGAAGTGAACTAGATACATTTTCCTGAAAATTGATCAAACATTAGATTTGAGTACGATTATTTGATAAACTAAAGCAATGTAAACCGGATTAAGGTAGATCAGTGGAAAATTTTGAATACTACTTAATATTGCTGATCAAAAACTTTTTGGCATAGCTTTATATTCTCAAACAATAATTTCTGTTAAGAATAGAGGAAATAGTGAAGATTGTGTGATGCGGGCAACAGATTTTCTTACTTTCTCTTAGTCATCTTTATTGTCTCTTTGACCCCTTTCTGACACCAAATATGAGACCGTAATCTTACATTTGAAATTGCATAGCTGCAACTTCGTTAATAGTTGTCCAAAATGAACTTGAATGAAAATTGAAAGAACAATGATTAGAACATTATAGGAAAGTTTCATCAAAATCGTTAGAGCCGTTTTTGCGCTACAGTCTACAGAAAAACATGTTTTTCATTACATTTTTATCTGTATCAATAAAAACGTAAATGTTCGTTTGTTTAAAACCGGTTTTCTTCGAAACTTCTCGATTGTTTCGAAATATTGTCATAACGTTCCTATCGGATTCAGGATTGTTTTTATATACTTATATACCTCCGACGTTTCTTCTCGGAAAAAATGATTATAATGATAAATATTATCGATGAGGATGCGTACGAGAATGTACGATGTTTGAGGTAAGATGATTTATTTACAGAAAGAGCGGTAGGACTTCTAGAGACATGTCAAATAACATAATAATGGACCCATGTGTCTTTATGAATTTGTTTCAAAATAAAATAATAAACTGAGGTATTATTGGTTATTTTAAAGTTTTGTTTGTTACGTTGCGAATAGCAATAAACTAATTAGATTAACGAAATCTCAAATGAAATCTATGCTTTCATAAAACAATTCAACGAATGCAGTGACCTAAATAGCAAGGAAGATACTTGCTATACTTATACTTGCTACTAGATATTAATACTAATTAGCTAATATAATTGGAGAAACTAGAAAGTTAAGTTGGCGGAACATAATTTCCAATTCTGGGCAAAAACTTGCCAATTACAAATGGCGCTCCAAGATCAGCCAACTCATCCGCGACTAACGAAGGGTTAATTGGATTAATTTTAATACATGATATTATCATTTTCCTTAAATGTTCTAAAGTAATCTGTTCTAAATTTACATTTTCATCGGCTTCAAAAATAAAGTTGATGAAATTGTTAGCATGGAATGTGAACAAGTTATTAAAAATGTATAGTAGAAAATATTCGTTTCTCTTTCGATTACACGAGTGGCCAGACCTATTTCGACCGTCTTCTGTTTGATTTTTGTTGATAAAAGGTCAAGTATAAACGCATGTAATTCTTTTTAAACATTTAATTGATGTATAAGTTGTTTTGTTTTTTTATGTAAAGCAATCATTTGAACAGGGTTTGTAAAAATTATTATAATAACTTATCGTTTCTGTTAGTACAGAAAATTATAAAAATTGGTGCATTGAAGAACTTAATTTAAACTACATATTGTAACAGCATCATTCAGTTCACAAGAATAATAAAATAGGATAATTCCGTGTCTGGATAGTATTACAGCGAGGGCAATAGCTTGTTGTATTTTTTAATTTTTTAAAAATAAAAGTGAGCTGATGTGTAGCTTAGCAAATTAAAGATTTGAATAAGATGGAAAGGAAGTTAAGCATTTAATAAATTTGTATCTATTATAAAGTATAGAAAAATCATAAAGGGTTATATATTGATTTACAGTATGTCTTTAAAGTTTTGGATGACTGTTCGTTACAATCCAACACGGGTAAATCCAGAAGAGGAGAGAAGATTGAGGCTGAGCTTCTCTCTCGCTCAAAAAAAAGAAGAATACTTTTTTTGCGTAGGTCCATATTTTTTGTTTGAATCAATTACAGATTGTTGTGACAGGGCGTGTCTTAACACTCACAAAAGCCTTAGCTTTTGCTGCTTAAACTTTCTCCAGTCTAACATCGCTGGCTTAAATCTAGTATAGGCGGGTTGAAGTTTATGTCGAAATCATGGGATAAATTTCAACCATCCCATTCCGTTTAGAATAGTTTTCGTGGTAAGCCACCTTATATCTGAAATGGCGGGGTAATTGATAATAAAAAAAAAATAAAATTAAGAAAACTTTCCTATGAATGATCTGGGCCAAAAACATGATTAATCACAATATGCTCTATTTTTAAATTACAGTGCTTATACTTCATCTTCCAAACGTAATTATTTACTAGTCAAATAAAAATATTCACATTTTAATTATAAAAGGATTATTGTCCCCTTTTTTTACGTATTAAAAAACAAAAAAAAAAAAAAACTGAATACGCTACTGCGATAGGAATGGTAATTTAGAAATTTTCGGTTATTAAAAAGAAAGGGAATTGTTAAAATTTCTCTCTGTTTAATAAGATCCTATTTAAATAAACAAAAAAAATCAACTTTTTTATTGTAGTTTTAGAGTGTTCATACCGTTTATTTAATATTTGTATTCTTGTTGGAAAATATATGGAGACTAAATTTTCCTTGTTTTTAGCTATTTTGGTAAGATTTGACAAAAACGAAAATTCAATTTTACTTACAACGTAAAATTCCATCAGAGGACGCAGTGGGATGATATTAAGACATACCTTCTTTTAGCTGAGGAACAATATGTCCAGAAGAATGCCTAAAAGGACAGATAGTCGCCTGGATTAAATAGCTTCTGGGGGTAAAATAGCAGGCTTGTGCCCTATTCATTTTTCTCTAAATGAAATTTTTCCGAAATTCTCCCATTGAATTCCCCAGTGGATTTTAGCAATCGGGAGTTTATGTATATCTTTTCATTCGATAATTGGTTTCTTTATATTACTATTAATAAAATCATTAAGATTTATAGTTAATTTATATTTTATAGTTATCTATCATTACTTGCAAGCGATTGCTTCGATCAGCCCTGATGAAGGCATGAATGTCGAGTCGAAACATTGGAAAATGTTAAAATAAATATTATTATTTATGTTTGCCATTTTTATTATGACTGATCATCCCAGCCATCCTTCTCTTTATTATTAGTTATAAATTGAAATATTAATATCGTTCTGAGAAAGCCAAAATCTGTCAAATACTGAAAGGAAGCGGAATTTCATTGAATAACTTCTGCATAATTTTTTATTGAAAAATATTACAATCTGTCTCAAGGACATTTATAATAGTGTTCACAGATCACATTCACACTCTATGTACAGTAAATAAAATAAATTATACAGAAAAATAACATATATACAATAAATAAGAATAAAATAACCTAAAAATAAATAAATAAAAAGAACACATACATACATATATACAATATTTACAATTTGGTGAGGGAACTCCAAACCAGACTTGTCTCTCCTAGTGTGGAGGGAAAAGCATGGCTCCAGGAGATCCCAGCACTTCTCTCTCAACCGCGTCACTGGAGCTAAACCCAGTGGACATAATTAGACCCTTAATAATTTGTATAACATTAATTTAAATGTACTTAGTGACATATTATTATGACAGTTATTATCTAATTGTAATATTTTTATTGCAGGAGTTCACTTCGATACTTCATCCGACAGATTACTAAACGAGATTTCTACGGCGATTAAGGTATACGCCCATGGAGTTGAAGACTTTGTCAGTGACTACAACAACAGAGAGTATTCTCTCAACACCCAGCTGTCTTGCGAAGGTGTAGGTGATTCCAGGTGGAGTACGGGGGACAAGTTCTACAAGTAAGTCGTTCGGATATATTATTTGTGTATCATATTTTTCTTCAGCTATTTTATATTATAATACACTATTTTCTCTATATTCAATAGCTTGGAACATTGGTCTGTATGCATCATTACAATCATGACGTATGGAGACCAAAACAACAGTTTGTTTTAACACCGACATTAATTTTGCGCCCTCTTTTCTGGTCCGAGTAAGTAAGTTATAGTCTAAACGGCGAGGAAAAAGTGGATAAAAAACAATATTTCGTTAATTATAGTTATGTCCATCAATGATCACTCCACCTAATTTAATAATAATTGTTGGGTAATAAAAAGAACTTTCTTACGAAATGCCTACAGCGAAACACTTCATGGGTTCTTGCGTTACATGTTTTATTTTTGTTTTTTAAATAGCCACATACCAGACTGAAACGACTAGAAACCGCCCGACGTTTTCAACTAGTGCAGCTCTTACTGGAAAAACTCTCTAAACTTCCAACTATTTACAAAAGACTCATATATATTACTATAATAAAGCCTAGATGGGCGCATCACCTCGAGTTTTGGGGCATTACTAAACTACCAAATTCCTCTTATTCAACCCCTAAAATCCAAAATCCTTCGTGAAACCCTCAATGCTCTCTACTTTGTCACAAATAAAATCATCCATAACGACCTTAATGTATCATATGTTTCCGATTTAGCTCAATCCAGATACCTATCCTTCCATAGTAAAATTCTGAACCATCCGAACTCTCTTGTTTCCAACATTGCTGCATCTTCTATTCCTGATCATCCTCCGAGGCGTCTGACAAGAAGATGGCCTCGGGACCTTCTAATACAGAAATATAATCAGAGTTCTACCAATGGGCACTTTCTCTTCATGATGTACCTGTCATGTTACTTATCCCATATTTATTTGTTGTATTTATCATTTAATACAGTTGTAAATTTAAATAATAAAAAAAAGTTTTTTAAATACAGTAAGCTATTTTTCAATTCTGAGTAAAGAAACCGGCACAGAATGGTAAGATACACCATAATCTTTTTACTTAGCTTTAACGAAGAATCACGGTTCTCTTTGAAAGCATTATTTTCAAACTATTCTCTAGCACCAGGTTTAAGTATTTAATGGTCAAACTTTCGCCTTGTCTGAGACCTTTGTAAGCCTAAAAGCACTCTAAGGTTTCCAACTGGGATCTTGATATGCAATGTATGTACCGCTATATTGCAATATGTATCTTTCAGAACAGTATTGTTTCAACAATTTTCTTTAATACCAACCAGGATATTAAAAAATTGGTGTTAAAATAAGTTTATTTTTAAATCTTTTTGTTGGGGGGAATTTAATGAAACTTGCATTACTTCAATATACTTTTTAAAAAATCAACAAAAGCTTTTTTAAGCATTTTATATATGAATTTAAATAAAAATCATTAATTTCATTGCACCATTAGTGTAAAAAAAATTATTTTTTATTTTACAATGGGCTCTGAAGTTTAATTTTTTTTCAAAACCAGTCTTATTCAATTTCAAATCATTTTTTGTGCTACTACTTAAATTATAAGGGGTTTTCAGAAATATGTACTACAAATAAAAAAATCTAAATTTATTTTTTTAAAACATATTGGTTTTGATATTACTTTTGGAATAGAAAATATATTTTTTGATTTTTCTGAAAATTAGGCATTGGCGATTAGTATTAACTTTTGAAATATTTCTCATAAATATTCATTTATCTCTCTGTATTAGAATTAGTTTCTCACACGTTTGGAATTTATTTCATGCTAGTATTAGTCACTTTATTTTACTTCCAGATTTTTTTTATTTTTATTTATTGATGATATTTACAACTGTATTACAAGTAAAAATACGTTCAGTAAATGTGAACAAAAGATTATAATAGCATGAAATCAATTGTTGAGAAACTACCCACTGGTAGCACTCTAAAAATGTATTTACAAAAGAAGATTTCGAGGCCATCTTCTTTTCAGACGCCTCGGAGGATTTTCAGGGATCGAAAAGGAAGCAAGGTTACATACGAGAGGGTTAGGATGGTTCTGAAGTTTGTTATGGAAGGATAGGTATCTGGATTGGGCCAGGTCAGAAACATAAGGAACATTAAGGTCGTTATGGATGATTTTGTTTGTGACAAAGTAAGGAGCTGTGAGGATTTTACGAAGGATTTTGGATTGTAAGGATTGGATAAGAGAGGAATTCGATGGCTTAGTGGAGCCCCAGAGCTCAATTCCGTAAGTCCAAATAGATCTTATTGTAGTCATGTATATGAGTCTTTTGTAATTGACTGGGAGCTTAGAGCGTTTGTCTAGTAAGTGCTGGAGTAGTCGGAAACGTCGAGCTGTTTCTTGTCGTTTCAGTTTGGTATGTGGATTCCAAGTTAGACGTTTGTCCAAGTGGAGTCCAAGGTATCGAATTTGTTCAACACGGATAAGTGCTGACGTGGAGGATGAGATTGGAGACTGTGAGATTGAGGTTTACATTGGGAAATTTGAGGCGCATGAATTTGAGGCTGCTGCTTCTTCATGGTGATTGGTGTTTTTCTGAAGTCCTGTTGAGGTTGATCAGTTTCTTTTGAAGTAGACGCTAGCTGTGTATTTTGAGTAGACGTTTTTGGCAATTCAGGAAAATTTGACAGATTATCAACTTCAGGTGGATGGGTAACACTTCCTTGGTTCAGTTTTATTCTTTTCGAGGCAATGTTCTGAGCTCTTTGATTATAAAAATGTTTATAAACTTTGAATCCTTTGTAGTTTCCTGGATGTTCTTCACCACAAAGGGCACATTTTGCAGGCAGGTCTCGAGGTCTCTGACAAGTGTCAGATGTGTGGGGGCCGGCACATTTCACGCACCTGGCCTGGTGATGGCAATACGTCTCTATATGCCCCAAGTCTTGGCACTTAGTGCATTGTACTATTATAGGCTTTTGTCTAGGCTCTTCAAATTTAATGGTGGAATATATAAGCCTCTTCACTTGAAAAATTTCGATGTTATTGCTGGCAGGCTCTAAATCGACGAAGAATAGTGGTAAAGAATATTTTTCCGTTGGGTGTAGTACACATGATATGTGCCTAACATTATGACCTATTTCTTCTAGGCCACTTTTGATGAAAGATATTGGGGTGCTTGAGTGTAGTCCTCATAACACCACTCGGTATGGCTTTTCTTGTCTTAATTGATAACAATGAAAATCATAGCTTTTGAACGTAAAGTAGTTTATAAGTATTTTGTAATTTTCTCAAGAGTTTGTGTTTATTTTGATATCATTAACTCTGGAGAAACAGCGAAAATTGGTCTGTCCAATCAATTTCTTGACCAAATGTAATGAAGTTATCTACTTTTGATATGAAAATAGGTGGCGGCTCGGGCTCAGAAAACTCTTGAGGCTCCGGAATCTTGCTTGATATTTTATTAACGGGAACAGGATAATTGGTGTTAGTGGTGGTTGGTGCAGTTGGCTCTGATCTTATGGTAATTGATTTGCTTCTGGTTTGAGGTGGTGATATAATTTGCTCGGCCTATTGTTTAGTTTTAGTAGATTTACTTTTTTCAGTTGACTTTTTAGATTTATTTTGCTCTGCTAACTGTTTAGGTTTAGCTGATTTATTTTTTTTCTTATTGGGAGGAGTGTTTCGATGACGTTTTTTGAACACGTGAAGTGTTCGTCTTTTTGAATACTGCGAATCTGTTTCGTTAACTTCAGAAAACGGCGTTTCGTCCTCCGAATCTTCACTTGACGAACTCTTATCTAAATTTATATCTTCCATATTATGATAAGAGAGGGAAAAAAAATATATGTACTCCTAAATATGACAATTAAAAAGATTGAAGATTACGAAATAAACTTTTAAAAAAATAAACTATATACATAACTATAATCAGAAATAAAATAAAACATTTCTTAGAATAAATATTTAAATAAAAATAAAACAGTCTCTGAAAAAGAAAAAAAAAAAAAAAAAAAGAAACGTAAATATAATGTCTTGGGTTCGAACTGAAGACCTGATGACTGAAGGAAGTTAGTAAACAGAGCTCCTGGCCGTGAACTTATCGGAGTATGATAAGGCACGTAAGGGAATTAACGGCCTCTCGATCTAACCAAATGAACACCAATTTATCAATTGTTTATTGTTAATAAATAGTACCTCACCTGTGTGTACGTCAACGTAAAATTGTTTAACTGTTTATTAAGTCACTGTTGATTAAGTATTACACCACAACTTTGAATTTTGAGCACATTACAAAGGAACAAATACAGAGCGACATGAAAGTTATACTGCACTTGCGGCCATGACACTTGCTACTCACTTCCAGAATTTAAAATTAGAAATAGATGCGGAAAGTTAGATGAAAACTTACAGAAAATGAACTGTCTTAATATTTATGCTTTCTAAATGGAATAATTAATAAGTTTATTCTGTTATGAAGCGAAATTCCGAATGTCGAAGAATGGATTTCGAAAAAAATCCTAGCAAATATATATGTATATATGTTGTAGCAGAGCTACCACAAATAAGTGTAATCCCAATTGAATCTCGACGCCAATATCGATTGCTGAGGTTGAAAGGGGCTAAGTGTTCTCGGAAGGGAAGAGTTACAAATGGGAGGATAAAACAGAAAGAGTAACAGCCCCGGGTAAGTAGAATCCATTTATATATGAAGGCAGCGTGAAGGTTATCCCTAAAAGGGAAGCTTTTGGAATGAAAAAAAGGATATGGTTTTTATGATAACAATGAACGAGAGGAATGGAGCTGCCTGCCAAGTTGCTTTCTCGGAGTGGATGGCATACGATCTTGATTCAACATTAAGTTATTTTTGTCACCAAGGTGCCTTTTACGTAATTAAAAACAAAAAAACCTGTACCACTTCAACCCATGAAGGGTCTTGGGTGCATTACTATGTGAGGAAGTACTTACTGTTTCAAGGCCAATGGTTGTGCAGGGAGGTGATGGGGCCGATATCACGCTCAGCCGCCAGGTTTTTCCCCCTTAATTTTTTTTTTAA